AAATATGAATAATCTGGACCCATTTTTACACAAAATAAGAGAAATCTGAACCTATTTTTAAAATGTGGACCCATTCTTTGTGAACCCAACAGAAAAATTGTGTGGGACTGTCCCAACTGTCCTAATAGCTGGCTACGGCATTGGCCTATACGTATGTGCTTCTGTCTTAATAATAAAGAGAACAAAAAATCATACGCTACTCATCTGTAAAATTAGAAATTCATCGTTGCATCTGTAACGACGAAGATAATTATACCTTTGGAAATAAAACATCGGTGTACCATAACAGCAGATAGCTAGTTAATGAATAGAACTTTATCAGCGACACATGTTAGACAATAACTAACGGTGCATCCAAATTTACATCTCATTCAAAATTTATAAAAAGAAAGGAATAAAGAATTCATTCACTCACTGTATCTGCGTGTGTATACAAATACGAACATAAACGTACACAGATTTATATAGAGTAAATGTGTATTTTATATATTTTATGTATTTTATATATAGGCCTATATATCACCGCATGACGGTTATTTTTATCATGATTTATATAGGCCTACATATATATATATACACACACATATATATATATATATAATATGTGTATATATATATATATATATATATATATATATATACTTATAAAAAGATATAAATACAGAGAGCATACAGAGATCCTATATACATATCCACATAATATATACAATGAATATACATGTAGCCTACCGGTATATTTATATACAGTATAAATACTTATATTCACATACATACATCTTACATATTCAAATACTATCAAGAAGATATTGACGGCATACCACTAGAGGATGACTCATCCTTGATTGGCAAAACAGACTGGTGACCTTAGGTAGACCTCTTATATCATCAATGCTGTTTCTCTTTTTATGAATTGCCCCGGGTGATAGGTATCCGACAAAGTGATCAGACTTTCTTGTGATTTATGATACACATCATTTGCGCTGCAAAATAGCGACCTATATAATAATATTTAATGTGCACATTTAAAATACACCCACTAGGTATGGAGTATATTTCTCGAGTAGTATATAGCCGAAAAGACACTATTTTTTTTTTTATTTATTTTTTTATAAATACGAACACGTTTTATAATACTTGTTTTGTTGAATAATGTAAACATCCTATTGATTAAATGTGAAAAAAAAAAAACACGTAGGTGGTATAGTTTTGTACACGACCAGTTACCGTTTGCGTAACTGTGATGAAAACATTAGAACTTTAAAATAATACGGTACCATTATAGTGTTATTTGCTGGCATGTATTATTTAATCGCATCGAATTAGTTAAATGTTAGACGGCCACTGGGACAGAATGGCATTTGAGGTATAAATTATTGTATTTATGGTACCTGTGTAGGTTTGTACATGACTACTTACCGTTTACATATAGTAATGAAAACAGTAAAACCTTAAAATAGTAAGGCCCCGCTTTTATAATGTTATTGACTAACGTTATTATTGGGTTTTTTATCGCACTGTATTAATAATAATGTAGACAGGATGGGAATTTGAAGATATGTTAGCATTTATCCTCCTTTATGTATTTTCATTTCATAGAGACAGAAGTTAATTTTATAGCTTTCACTGACTGTGGAGGGTATTGATTAATTATTATTTACTTTGGTTGACACGGGGTTATGAATCCATCAAACCCATGGCAACTATCATTGGTTTGACCTGTTGACATGACTAATGAATGGACTGTTAATTTCAATGTCCAGTTTCAACATGACCTCTCTACCTTTAAGCCTTAGGTCACCTTAGAAATTAATGTTCCAAAAGCGGTCCAAGAGGCCAATCAATAGCCTGCGGTGTCGTACCATATTTTACCATGATCTACAGGCTGATTTAAGATCAGAAAAATGAGGCCAATGACCTTGCGCTCTGTCTCGGTGTAGGTGCAATATTGAATAAGTGCAGGAGACCTCATAATGTACTTTAGCGTTTCATACTAAAACCGAAGGCCATAAATAATTGTCTACACCTCTAAATCTGAGGTGTAAATGTAGGCCTATTATTGGGATTGAGTAGAGTGCCTAGGCCTAAATAGTAATAAATCATGCCTACGAATGGTTTATTTGAATTTATTAACTATAACTATTCAAAGATCTTTTTTTTAGTAGGAAATTCTTGATATATTAAATTTAAAAAAAGTGAAATAGATATAGAAATCGTACGAACTGTACGTTAAAGAATTCCTGAAACTAAATATACACAGAAAACTATTGCAAGAACAATGTAGCATTTTTATTTCCAAAAGCAGAGCAGGTCATACCGGGAGGTCTGGGACTAGATGTGGAAGAAATGGTGGTTATGTACCTTTTCCTCCAGTTATTGATATTCAAAAATATGCATCTCATTAACCGTTTTAAATTTTTTTGGTCAAACACCCTTGTTGTGTCTTAGAAAAATCAGTTGTACAACATATCAAAATTTTGTTTTCCTCTAGAGCTTGCCGGGCTTTAACCTGAAGAGTAATATGAACGTATATTTGTCATCAAGACTAGCTATGCCCAACTGCTATACAGAAACTATCATCCATTATAACTTTCATTAAGTAGAAGGGTTAACCACGCCCTATCGTGACCACACCATTTGGTTTTGAGGGCCTGGACTCGATGGCCGAATAACGTCCTTGCACTTAATCACAAATAATTGGCGTGAATCTTGGGCGGAATACCCGGTTGCATTGCCTGGCTTCTTGCGCTGTCTTCTTTTGCCGAAGTAAAGTTCCTCTTTATCCATAGGCTACGACACGACACAACCATCACTTCCTTAGATCATATCGCGTTTATTCATTGCCTGAACATCAGGTCAAGGGCCTGTACCAATAGGCCAAACACATGTTTACAGTCACCACTTTTCTCTGGCATAAGAGACCTACATTATAAGCATTTATATTACACAACTTATATGTTTGCCTCTCAATAAACAACAGAGCCACATTAAAAATTAGGCCTGCAATATTGTCATATTTATAGACCTACCAAGTATTTCGTAGCCTGTCTATCAAAACAGGGACTAAAAATACGAGGTGGCGTAAAAGACCATTGACCAAAAAAACTTTTTTCCATTGGAGCGACATACACGCACCACGCGCAACGACTACATCATAGCATCTTTAACGGAAAGACTTAAGTACAGTATTGAGGAACTATAGGCTTTAATAAGACTTATGCAGTAATCCTGTATCGATGGTCCTGACGGATGCTTTGCACCGATGTTAGGCTTGGATAAGAACGTAACCTTGGCTTCATAGAACCAGTGCTTAGGCCTATTTCACTGACAATGTCAAGTGCAACCTGGGCTATAACAGGTACGGCGCATTACACGTACTTTGATGTTTGGTCTTACCCCTGGTGCCCATTTAGCACTCACTGCCGTCGGCCGACGCGATGGAGAACACAACGCCACGACGCGCACGCAATTAATCGGATCGCCCCCGACAATCAGCAGACGGCGTGCCGCGGCGTCGCGTCGTCTAGCGCTCACAGGGAGCGAAGTTCCTTTCGTCGTACGATGGTCGTTCGATTGCAAGTGCAAGACAGGATATGGCAAGCGTAGTGTATGGACCTACATACGTCAAGGTTTCTATAAAGTTAGGCCTATTGTACAGTATTACATAAAAAGCTGTCCCTGACAGTCAGTTTATCCCCCCAAAGTTTGGAAAGATTAACCAAGTTCAACCTGCCCCAAGCGTTTAAAAAAAATCGCTACCGAGTGTCCCCGACAGCTGTAGAAGTAGAAAAAGTGAAGAAATTATATAGAAACCAGGCTTTTCTGACGCAGAGGGAGTGTGTCAATGTCCCACTCTCTCAACACATCGAGATGAGTAGATCACGTAGATTGATCGGATACCGGTAGCAATCACGATGATTTGGTTAAATTCAATCGATTACTGTGAAATATCGTCTGCTGTCTAAATTAAGTTAGATTTTGCATATTGACGTCTACGAGTTGGTACTTCGCTCTCTGTTTACTCGAGTGGAAATTGTCGACTGGACTGCTAAGTGGGTTAATTTTGACAAAAATCTATCCAGTCTATTATACCTTGATCACATGTCCTGTTGGATCTGTGCCTTGATCTACGTTAGGCTCTTTCTCATTCTCTCTACTTCGCGCTACATATTTAGGCCTATTGAAGGCACCCAGCTCTCAGTCGGCTAAACAGCAACTGTGTGCGCGCTGAACCGTGGATATCTCATGGTCCCTGGTTCAATTCCATCCGCTGATCTTATTGTGTTTCAGCTGGAGGGCTGAAATGCAATTTTCAAAAGCGCTGTTAGGCCTATTTCGGATAAGACGTTTAAGCTTGGTCCCGTGTCCAAACTGGCTCACGTGCACGTTACAAAAACTCGTAAATTCTTTCTCAAAGCCTCATTTAGTGTCCTAAGTGAAAATTTACCCATTTCATACTCATGAAGGCCTATTTGAATCCAAATGAATTGCTCGCAAATCTTCTTTATAGAATAATGTTAAATAGGCCTACGTATAATGCCTATTTTTAAGTTTCTTTCTGATGTTTTGTCTTTTGATTATAAAAGAAAAAAAGAAAATATGGATGAGAATTATCGGAGTAATATATTAGTTTTCCAATTAAAATACAGGAGAGACGAAAAATATTTATGGACTTTTTGATCAATCATATAATTATGTGCATTTAATTATTCAAATTGTCCGTTATTCTTTCAACTTTATTTCACACTCAAGTGGTTCATGTCAAGCATGTATGTTATAAATATAAATAAAGATTAGAATGACTGTATCATTCAATTGCCCAAACTATTTTAGATACATTCAGTACCGTATGTGTTTGACCACACAGGATGCCTGTTTGTTTTCAGAAGCATTAATGGCCAAAATGAAAGAGTAAATAGATTTTCTGATAAGTTCATAAACAAAAGGAAGACCAGCAATTAAGGAACTTATCATTATGCCTGGGCCAATTGAATAGCACGTACCTTGATTGTTTCGTAAAGACGAATAATGTTTGGATGCCTGAGTTGTGACAGTACTTTGGCTTCACGGTACAAATTCCTTCTGACGTAATCCTCTTTCACCTTCCGAAGGTCAATGACCTTTATTGCAACCTGTAATGACAAGTTGTCACGTGAGTTATAATTGCTGTCATTAAATTGGGAAGCGAGGTTTTTTTTTTCGTTTTTTTGTTTTTTTTTTTTGTTTTTTGTTTTTTTTTTTTTTGCCGGTAGTAAATGATTTGTATGGGGCGGTATGAGATTAGCTTGTAAACATCCTTCCATCATCATTCAATCAATTAACGAATCTTCAAATATCCGTCAATCCATCATCGTTCTTTCAATCAACTTACCAATATTCAACCAGTTGTCAGTTAGTAATTGGGCCAATTTGTCTATCAATAATAATAAAATAATAAAATATCCAATTAATTATTAATCAACCTCCAACTAATCAACCCTTCCACCCCCTCTATCCAATAACCAAAATAATCTTCATTGTCTTTTGCTATTTTCTATTAACAAAGACCCTACTTAGGTATAAATAACTGATTCCCAGATTATATTTCCCGCTCCATTATTGTTCCACAATGCCAAGTTTGGTCAGTGTAATTTGGTTGCATCATGTAAGCACGCTCGCAATTCCACACGCCGTATAACATTATTTTTATGATAACTGACAGATGTCATTCTCTTGCCATTCTGCTGTCATTAGGATATTGTCATGGTTTGTAATTATAATAATAAGAATATGTTTATACATAAGCCCACTTCCTTTTAATTTAAAATGACATGGCTCTCATCATGCATTAGTGTATATATCTTTTTTTTATATTATAGAAAAAATATGAAAATAACCATGTTGCTGATGCTTCGCTTCAAATTATATAGTTTTAAAGTCAGGCTCCGGAGGAAAAAAATTTGTTGATATGTTGTAGAACTGATTTTTCAGAAAAACTTGGGAACGGTGAATGAGATACAGCTTTTTTAATATTTAAAAACTGGGGGGAAAAGGGGCGTAACTGCCCATTTTTACACCTTATTCCCCCAGTTTTTAAATATTAAAAAATCTGTATCTCATTCACCGTTCCCAAGTTTTTCGTCAAACAACTTTTTTCTGTCTTAGAAAAATCAGTTCTACAACATAGCAAAAAAAATTTTCCCTCCGGAGCCTGACTTCAAAAGCAGTCGTACACTAATGACAACGTCAAGTCAGTGTCTGCCAAATGTCTTGGAAAAGACGGCTACTTGTACCATGAGTACCAGTATAATAAAAGAGAGCGATAAATCAGAAGTTTTCTTACATCGTGGCATAAATTAGTGAGAAATTTTGTTTCGTATCAAAAATTTATGTAAACACATCACGCATTACCACGATTAAATTTCTCGTTAGAGGCATAATACGATTTTATCAGTGCACAGAAAAAAGACTGCAACAGGTGTGCCAATGTGTCACTAATTAAGTGTCCTCTATTAATAATAGCTAAGGCTTCATAACACCTTCACAATAATCCAGCCACCTATGTACGTAGCATGGTTTCTACGACAAGTGCACCAATTAGGCCTATTTTCTCTTTCGGGTGTGAGGCGGCGGCCCTGTCCGTGCCAGTAGAGGGGATTAACGCACGCAGGGGGTCGTGCCTATAAGTTCAAGAATAAGCCGGGTTTTATTTATCCCAGGATTTAAATACCTCACTTTAGACAAGCTATTGTATTTGTTGAGTAAATCAAAACGAGAATTAAGCTACTCTTGTGTATAACGATTAGGTAATTTTAAAATGAGCATTACACCTGCGGAGTAGAGATCACCATGGCACCTAACTTGTATAATTATATCAGTAAAACTTTCAGTATTACCTTTGTGTTTTGCTTTATATTGTTTTATATCGTTTTTATTATCATCGTACTGCCTGGGTCAAATTTCTCTTGCGCGAGTGTTCCTCCGTTTTAGGAGAGTACCAACAAATTGTATCGTATCGTATCGTACAGTACTCACTTACAGTATAGGTCTTCTTTTATCACGTATATTTTTACGTCCGTTGTTATTAATAAGGAGCTTCCTCAACCTTACAAAAAATCTAACATACGTCATTATTATTATCGTCATTATTATTATCGTCATTACTAATATCGTCATTCTTTCCGAAAACATTCTTAACAATAAGCTGTATATGATCCTTGATTCATGCGAAGGCATGAATCGCTACGTTGTGACAGATACAGTACCGTTACTCCAGGGGGTTGTCCAAAACTGTGACGTAACCGTATATTCGTTATCGTTTACTGTGACGTAACCGTATATTATATTCGTTATCGTTTCGTTTAGTATTCGAAAACTCTCTATGCGCTGCTACTCAGTGGCGGCGCCAGCGGGGGGCTTAACCCCT